AAAACATGCCGTCACGCTAACACAGCTTTACGCAATCTATTGTGTGTTATCGAGTCGACGTGTTGTGTAAAGATGCGATAGCGTGACGGTGTGTTGTGTGTTAGTGCGATGACGTGTTTATATGAGTGTGACGGTGTGTTGTGTAAAGTTGCGTTAGCGTGACGGTGTGGTGTGTGTTAGCGCGACAACGTGTTATAAACAACGCGCCGGGGCATTTTCACTTTGCGCTAGTGCGTTGTCACTTACAAAAGTGCAACAATGCGTTAGAAACAATTGCACGTTGTGAACTACGTGCTAGCCCGTTGTCACCTATGCTAGCGCGTTGTCACTTTGCGTTTTCGCGTTATTCCTCACGCGCTTTTACACTTTTGCAAATGGCCCTATCAGGACACCATAGAAAACGCTTATTTATACAAATCTTGGCCTTATAGCGAACATAATATTAATACTTAATGATAAATAATCACTTTTATGATTGATTTGTTAATTTGCAATGAACAGTGCAAAAATATTATCGATAGTTCGTCAATTACTTTACCAAAACTGTATAATGTAAAAAAAAAAAAAAGGGGGGGTCATCAAAAGCCACAATAGAAACTATAGCAGGGATCCCCATCATTTTAAATTTTACGGTGTTGCAGATTTTTCGCAAAGCACTCATATTAGCGATATTTTCGCGATCAAATTTATCCACTATTTATTATAATTATAAAAGCAGATATACACACACAACTTTTTGAATCACTAATTCGTTACACAAATGTTGTGGTTGTACATATTAATGAAAAATAAATAAATCGATATTGAAAACAATTAGAATGTCTCCTGTATATCATAATTTACATACTATAACACCAACCAACTTCAACCCCCACCCCCATCCCCTCCAACACACAACTTAAAGATAAATAAGTACGATTAAAAAAAAAAATATTTTACATACTTGTATCACTATGTACAAGGTGTACCTGTATTAAACCTTAACTTGATATTTTCATAATTTTTGTATATAACTTTCTTACATGTGCACTGAAGAGCATGCAGGCGAAATTCTGGTTAATACAACCGAACTACTTAGCATCTTTAAAAGTAAATTTTGCCGTATTTTTGGTCACTTGATCGAATTACCAGTAAGTTTTTGAATTAAAAAAAGAAACTTTAGAATAGTAAAATACTTTCAGGGGGTGTCTTTAAATTCTTCAACAATACATTTACATCAATTTAATGATTATGGCACGATGTTTGACTCACAATGCCAACAAAATTCTAGAGACGTGGTTCTGAACGAAAGACAATTATTCAATTAATTTTTAAATGTTTAAATAATACAGTCAAACCTCGCTATCTCGAATTATGTATTTAAAAATTCAACTAGTAAATATAATACGGTTACATCGAACTGTGAAAACAAGTTATTTGTCTTTGTTCCTTCATGCGTAAAGTCCAGCGAGGGTTTAGGAGATAATTGATACTGCAAGGTGAAGCAGGACAATGTGCCCTAATCTAAGAGAAAATTAAGTGCTCTGGCTATAAAAATTGAAATACGATAGATTTGTTTGATTAAAGTTTTAGAGATAATTTATGTTCTGATTTTCTGATTACGGATCTTACTGTGTCGCTTTTTTTTATGTGTATGTGTTATAAATTTGAATCGTTAAGCTACTGAGTGGGGGAAAATTTTACTTTGTCGGGGCCGACACAGTAGAACAGCTCATGGAGAACCCTGCTATAGTGCAGATTGCTAAAAACGAGTTTAAGAAAGTCTGTTGAAGTTTCTCCACAGTACGACAAAATTGTAATTTAATGTTACGGATACCTACGATACATTTATCTAAATATTGTCAAGTATACTATGACAGCTTATCGTGATCATAAAATTTTCCTGATACATGTAATCTGATGAGTTTCAAGGGATTGTGTGAATTTCTTACACTGCGTTCTTCGAAAGTAAAAGTTATAATAAGGCTCATTTCAAAAAGTATTGCTCATACCTTCTAATTGTACCATAGAAATAAGAATACTAAAATTACACTGGATGTGTGAATCAACAACATGAAGTGATTCAACTGAATCTACTAAGAATAAAAAAAAATATTCTATTAAACATATATGCTGTAACTAGCAAATAAATGTGTTCTCGATAGAGTGGACGTCCAGCATTATAAAATTATGTATTAATTAGACGTACTTCATAAGGTCAGTATATAATTCTATTTATTTGAAATATTAATTGTCACAGATGAATAGTTGAAAAAAATACTGTCTTGATCATGTCAGCAAAACCAGTTTAGCCCCCAGTATAATAATAGAAAATGCTAAATAAACAAAATTAAAAAAAAAAAAAAAAATTGGTGTTGCTCTGTTTATATTATGACCCGCTTAAAATATACGACCTTATGCTGATTCTCACTGAGCCAGATGATATAATGGTCATTCTCATAGCTATTATAGTTAAGATTTGCATTACTATGTATGTCAAACTGGTTTGTGAAAAGATTTACATGTATATGTATATGTTTAATATATTCAAAAACAAAATAATCCATCTTATTTCTTTATTATTAACATAATTAAAACCCATTAAAAATAATCTGTATTTATTTAAATTTGTGAATTCCTATTTTCAAAACATACTTCACAATAATGTGAACATGTGTTGTTGTTTACAATTCAACCAATTGAAAGTTATCGTTCTTGCGCAAGGTTCGTCTGAAAGAAGAAATTAGTTTCCCATACCGAGTTCAAAGATTCATTTTAAAGTTTCTCTTTATAAAACGTTTTGTGTATTTAAAATATTTAAGACATGTTTAATCAGAATATCACATCGTTTTGCTGTATCTAGCCCACATCATTATAGGTCTCCTGTAGGTTTCAATTACGTGTAGGTCGTCAATTAGGCCGCGCCTTTCAAAGATTTGCCGCTAGATGGCGATCACAAATTCCCATCCGTCGCAGATTTGCGATAGCAAAGGACGCGAGGCTCTATGAGCCTCCGTCCAAAAAGCGGTTTGAGCATTAATCGTTAAGTTCCGGCATACTAAAATCGAAATAGCAGAGATATCATTTAATTTTTTTGTTTTGCTGAATCCCCCGAATTTGGTATAACATATTCTTATATGCACAGAACAACCCTATTAAGGTACAATATTCCAATAAGAATGTATCCCTTGCCTGTTTTTTCTACCACAACAGTGCATTGTCAAATCATTAAAAACACGAGTTTACATCATTAGACTGCATTATTGATCTAGGATGAGTTCACCACTTGTTTCTTCTTAAAGCCAAAGATTGCAACTTTGAAATGATGCAGATTTTCATTATCAGTCTTTAATATAAATACCACGAAAATGGCCTTGAAGTGACCTTATACTTGACATCATCAAAAGAGAGTAACCAGAATTTTATGATTTTTAAAATTTTTAGAGTTTCTTACTTTCATTTCAAGGGAACGAGTCCACCTTGGGTGAATTTTGTTAATAATTGATAATTTTGTAGACAATTTCAATAAATATTATTAATTTTCCCAGAGTTCTTTTTATGAGTATGTTCATTTCACCATGCATCGGATACAAATTAACCATACATCGGACATTGTTCGCTGCATAAATTATTGCTTCCTTTTTTGTATAGAGATACGTTCATAATGCTATATCTGACGGTTGTTTTGCAGAAAAATATATATATAAACCCAACATATTCAGAAAAATACAAGCCGTCGATATATGACAACAAGAAGTGGGCTGTCTTTCTTTATTTATTTAAACTACAATATCTATGATAATCCCCCGACACCTAGGTGCTAGTTGCCATAAATTACGAGGCATTGCAAAGCCAAACTAAGGGGATGTGATGCAACTAACATCTCTCCACATTTTTTGATTGATATAGTCAATCAAATTAAAATAGAAAGTTAAATTATAAATCAATCATAAAAAATATTTTCGTGTCATTAATTTATAAGCACTTTAGATGTTCCTCGCTGTCGGGAGTCTTTTCCACGATACCCTTGGTTTTTTTTCCTGGGATTACTTTACAATACAAAACTCGGTTAAAGGGAAGTCAATGAAACCTTCAATTTCGTTTTTTAATAACCGAGATTCCTTGTTTCCATATAAGTAGCATAATTTAAAGTCCTCAAACGGGTTTCCTAGAAGTATCATTATATAACCAAGATTTTCTTATAATTGAGTTCTGTATAACCTAGGAAGCATTTTTTTTTAAAATACCTGAAACCCCTGAATGCAATTCCAACGTTCACCCTATTCATGGATAGGTATAAAATATATGTCAACCAAGCATTGCTTTTCATTACACCAAAAACATGCATATTCCACAAGAAATTATTTCTTCACTTTTGTAGGTCTTTAAAATACCCTTTGCCTTGGAAGACATTTATCATAAAAGAGCTTACCTTCTATTTCCATACACGATATGTGTCTGATACACCACAGCAGACGTGCAGATAGCCTAGCTTGAGATGCTTCCTTTCTAACATATGTTATCAACAAAACATATGAAAACAATAATCAATAAAGTTCTTAATTGCGTTAAATACGTTTCTGTAACCACTTCATCTGTGAGTTACATCCCTTAACTTTAATTTAATAGAATCCCACTGTGGGACGTGGAGACCAGTCCTTCGGATGAGACCGTATAAACCGAGGTCACGTGTCGCAGTAGGTGCTGGCACGAAAAAGATCCCTCAATGCTCAATGGCCTTGAGTGCCGAGTATAGGTGCAAAATTTGTAGCTCTCCACCGGCAAGTGGTGGCGTCTCCATATGAGTGAAAAATTCTCGAGAGGGACGTTAAACAATAAACAAACAAACAAACGAACTTTAATATCCTTTGTAGTCTCTGCGAAAAAAAAGGTTTAAAATTAACCGGAAATTTATTTTGTTCCTTTCTGGTACGCAAAAAAGATCTCATTTTAATCTGTCACAACTTTTCATTTTACCTTCTAATACAGAAATTGTAAATACATTCAACATGACTTTATATTCAACATAGCTGACACATGCGAGGGCATAGTTTTGACTGGACCGGATCAACACAAGCAGTGATAATAAAATTAAATTCTACACAGCGGGGGTCAGTGTCTACACATGCCGGGGTAGTGGTAGGTGCCAATGTTGTTGTTGTCGCCTCTGTAGTTGTCAGTATTGTTGTTGTCGTAGGCGCTTGTGTTGTTGCTTCCGCTGAACAGAGGCCACACATTTTTGGACAAGTTTTTGACTCCTCACTATCAAGGCAGGCAGTTATAAGAAATTCGAATTCCACACAGCGTGGATCAGTGTCCTCACAAACTCTTCCTGTGGTTGTTGTTGTTGCTGTCGTCGTTGTGGTCGGAAAAGGAGCAGTTGGCAAAGGAGTTGTTGCTACAGAACATAAACCACACATCTGTGGACAAAGTGTCGCTTGAGTTGGGTCTCGACATACTGACATTATGAAATCAAATTCAAAACACCGTGGATCTGTATCGTGGCAAGGAGACGATGACGTCATCGGAGGAAGTGATGTAGAAGGTAATGTTGTTGTTTGGGATACGGAACAGGTTTTACAGGTCACCGGGCAGATTTTTGATTGCTCTGAATCGAGGCAGGCGGTCATAATGAAATCGAAATTTGTACATCTGGGATCAGACTCACAACAGCCATCTTGACATACCGACTGTGACGTAATGCCTGTAATGATAAGTGTTAACGTGAAACACTTACATTCATTACAAGTAAATATTATATTCTGCAGTAAAATCGGCTTTCAATTAAACGTTTTTTATATTAAGAAAAATGCTAAAACCCCTTTGCAAACGCCTTTAAAACATTTTGAACGAAATAGCTAGTTTCTCACCTTTTATTAAAAGAACAGATACAACAACTGCCAACATCTGAGAAAATAAAATAAAAGGTTTATTAACCACATTGAAATTTCTTTTTTAACAAGGGGATAGGTTGTTTTGTTGGACTTTTAATTAGGAGTTCAGTTTGTGTGTGAGATAATGCGTTTTGCTGTTTTGTAAAAAAGCGAATTTAGTGTCAAATTAGCTAATAAAGAAATAGTTGAAGGATATGAAACATCTCAGAACTTTTTTGTAAAAATAAAAAAGTGATTGTAAATAAATCTAAGGAAAAGGAATTCTAATTTTAAAATAATCACTAAAGATACATATTAAATTTTCTACATAATTGGTAGTACGGAATATTAACAAAACATAGTAACAAAATGTCCCACAGCATTATTTTTTACAGAAATATTTTAAGAGAAACAAGTGCATTTAATATTTTGAACGACTTTTGAATTTAATAACCGATTTTTTTCATTAAGCACCTGACATTTAAAAATATTTAACTTTCTGTGAAAAAAAATATAAGCAGTAAAAAAAACTAACATGATTAAGTTATTGTTAACTGGGTAAAGTCCTTGAAGGGAATTAAGCAGTATAGATTTATACCAGTTAAATAAACATTAACTGTATTTTGAGAAATAAATTTTACGAAAATACAATTGCAAATAATAATAACTTGATTGTAAATATGAAAGATGAGCTGTTAAAAATAGCGTACAAGAATCTATAAAGACTCAACTCTAGCATATATCAATAAAAGAATAGGAATAATTAATTATATGATATTGCATATTTACAGAGATTATTATTTCCCCCATCAAGTTCACTAAGTTTTTCCTGAGTACCATGAGATTTGGTGCCGAGCGAAGCGAGGGACCAAATCGAATGGCGAGGGAAAAGTTTAACACAATACTCTTTACATTTTTTCCTCGAGAAATTAAACTCTTTGTATTTCTATCTATTTCATCACAACTCTAGGGTGTTTCTTTTTAATTGTGTCATGATAATGATGATTAAATAATGACTGGTGCAATTTTATACAGGCCCTGATGTAATAATTTTATCCTCAGGGATATATATATATACATTTATCCCATGTTCACCCCTTTATCCCGTGGATATGACTCATTTGATAATTTTTTCATATTCCACAGTTAAGTGCAGTTGTGACGTCACAATGGTTTTTGCGTTAGAGTGATGAAGTAAAATAAAGTGGAGTCCTGTATAAAACAGTGTAAAACATTGGTTGTGAAGTATTAAACATGGGATAAAAAGAATCTCCCATGATTTGTAGTGGGATATGACTTTTATCCAACTCGTTGTGTGTTTTTATCCCCTCGCCAAGGCTCGGGGATAAAAAAAAACACACAACTCGTTGGATAAAAATCATATCCAACTACAAATCATGGGAGATCCTATATATACTTGTCTGTAACAGGTCAGGTGACGATCCACAGTGAACAGTTTTCAAACACAATTACTAGGTTCATTCCTGCATATTCAGAACCTATTCATCAATGTATGAAGACAGTACGTATTGTCTTAGTAGTTTCATTTGGATTTAAGCCAGGAGCTTGGGATTCTTTTGGACACGAGTGATGATTTGTTATTGTATGTGGATAAAGATCCAAGATCCAATTAATTGTTCCTGGGGCTATATCTCAAATTGCTCAAAAAAGCAAAGAATGTTCTACAGAAAACGCGACCAAAATAATAAAAAGCGAGCAAATGTCTTAGCAGCCTCGGCTTATAACTTAGCAGAAATGTTTTACACACAACATCAGCAATATAGGACTTCTGTTTATTTCACATGTTCTGACAACCTTGCTGTGTTCATGGTGTCCTATTGGGATGAAGACAAGATAGTGTGTAAATTCTGATTTTCTGCACTATCAATTATGATATGTATCGTATATATCATTCTGGTAGAAGTATCAGTGACACAGCATATAATCCTGAATAGTAAACCAATTAACTTGCTTAAATTTCAGTGTGTTGTTATTTTGGCAAAAGTAGTTTAATAAGTCAGAAAGAAAGAGAGAGAAGGAAAGAGTGAGGGTTTTTTTTTTTGGGGGGGGGGGTACTGATTCTGTAGAGTTAAGTGACAGTTTAGCACCTCAGGTCCAACATTCATTTAAGAAATAAACAACAATGTTTAAAAGTTTTCTGGGAAATGAACTTGGTTGGTCACATGATCAAATCCTGTGAAGCCCGAAGGGCTTCTCAGAAGATTTATGTTCAGAAGATTGATGTTCAGCAGTCCAGTTCAGGAAATATCTGTTCATAATGAAAAAAACAATGATCGCTACTGAGAATACTATTATTGTATGAGTTCTTTATATATGAAGTCAAAAGCGGTGGTATCGTCTTCAGTTTACATACCGTCAATGGAATTTCGGGTTAAAAAGGTAAGCGTGATTTTAAGCTAATTAAAAACATTCTTCACACCGAAGAAAGAACTAATGATCATTTGTTGAAAAACAAAAACATATACAATAATTTTATCTTTATCATCGCTTTAACGGCTTAAAGGTTCCGAAACCAGTGTCACCTGGACAGAAATATGTAGACAAGATATCTGTGATTCGGTCACGCCATGACCTCTGACCCCCTAATAAGTTCATACAGAATTGAACATATTTTCTCTTCAATAGGTTCATCTAAGAAAAATATTTGCAAATGTAAATAATTTTAAATGACCTTGACACCGTGCCCTTGTACGGAAGCCGGTAGGTGCCAGGTAGAAAAATATTTTATCTGGCGGCCACCAGATAAGTTTCTGGCGGCCGCCAAATAATTATCTGGCGGCCGCCAGATAAATAACTGGCGGCCGCCAGAAACCTATCTGGCGGCCGCCAGAAACTTATCTGGCGGCCGCCATATAATTTTCTGGCGGCCGCCAGATAAAAAGATCTGGCGGCCGCCAGATAACTTATCTGGCGGCCGCCAGAAAGTTATCTGGCGGCCGCCACATAATTTCTGGCGGCCGCCAGATAATTTCTGGCGGCCGCCAAATAACTTTATGGCGGCCGCCAGATAAGTTATCTGGCAGCCGCCAGATCTTTTTATCTGGCGGCCGCCAGAAAATTATTTGGCGGCCGCCAGATAAGTTTCTGGCGGCCGCCAGTTATTTATGTGGCGGCCGCCAGAAAGTTGTCTGGCGGCCGCCAGATAAAATATTTTTTCTACCTGGCACCAACCGGCTTCCGTACCCTTGATTATAACCTATCATCAATAATGATAGTTTTAATGATTACGCACACAATTGCATAGACGCCCAACCATGAATCTTGGGCTTGGAGTGTACCAAGTGGTTTAGTATCGGAAAAAATCCTTTGTTCGAGGTGTGAAACATATACTAAAGAGTATTTTCATCAACATTTGAAAGATAAGTTTCGTATTCACACTGAGAATCTTGTAAAAGATAGGCTCAGTATTATATTAAGAAATATGAAATTTTCGAAATTGTGTTATGATAAAAAATTATGTAGAAAATGGATTTCAGCTTTTTTTGAATGCCCTTTTAATAAGCTTTATAGTTTGGAGAATACCAAAGGACTTAATAACCTAGGAAAAGTCTAAGTACAAATTTAAGAAGTTTCGCAATATGATATCACAACTGCCTGTATATATTACATGTTAATTTGAATAAAAATTGGTAAAATGAATACGTCTATGATATTAGCGGCATTGCATCATTAACGGTTGCTACAAAGTGTTTTGACACCATGATGAGTGAGTTCTTTTAAAAGCTGATACAAACCACATAGAGAGAAATAAAAAATATAAAAAGAAAAAACACTTTTTTTCATGAAAATTTATAAAAGAATTAGAATATTGACAAGCACAAATATATTTGTTATTATCGTAAACAGCAAAGAATTAAATAAAAATCACCTTATTTCTGATGTGGGGACTTCGTGACTCTTTCAGCCGTGGTCATATAGGGTTAAACAAAGATAATAAAAACTCGGTCACTATTTCATTAATGTATAGGAATGTATGTCAAGAAAATTCAAATATATTTGCGGATCCAACTATTTGCTGTACCTTCTCGGCATAAGTTTCACGTCGAATTTCTTTCTTAATGTAAATATGCAGATTGCTAAATACTAGTAATTCTTATAATGACCCTGAAGATTATATAAGTTCTATTATTCACATTTTTAAACAAAAAAAGGGGGGATGTTTGTCCCATTCTTTTTCAACACCAAAGTAACATTTTCGCATAAGATTTTACTAGCAGGTGCTTTGAAATCCTGTCCTGTTGTTAATTCAATTGATTTTTTTTTGGTGGTTTTGCCGAAAAATAATTAAAAATAAAAACAATAAAAAGCAAATTATCATTTAGTTATCAAACAAAGAAAAAAAATCCAAATCCATCTTTTCCTAGTTTTACAATGAAAAATTATTAAACCACAAAGATTATACACAGACGGTCTAAAACTGAATATCAGCAAAAGAGTTTAACCCTTTGTTGTTACATTTACAGCACAACTCGGTTTTGCGCTAAGTTCTAGGGACCTGTAAATTTACTTCGCTATATCCGTAATTTGTTAATCGAAAATGTTATAAAGTATACATAGAGAATTCGAATTATAGAATTTTTTTCATTCAAGTATACATGTAACTACTAAATGTATTTAAGAAAGTATAAAATACAAAATTTACCTTGTAGTTCAAAAGTTTTCAAATGAATTGAGTTTCAAATATAAATATTTCCAAAATTAATGTCGGTTCATATATTTTAAAAACAAAAAAATCTTTGAAAATTCGTTATAAAAGATGTAAATTTTGTAATTTGTGACTTCTAGGGGACACAAAATCAATTCGCAATTACCGTAAATTCGCTAAATCCGAGTTCGTTATATCCGTGAAATTTTACAAGGAATTGTTAAGAATTTCGCCGGGGATTGAAAAAAAAAAAAAAAACCTTCGTTGTGTCTGAAAAATCGCTATATCCGTGTTCGCACTAAACAAGATTTACTGTATAACTATGGGTTTTTTTAATTTTTTATTTCAAAGTGTTCTCGGGAATACAAAAATATTATTATAGTTGGCAAAGACATTATTTGCGTGTAGGAAGTTGTGAATCGAACTATAGACAGCCTGTGCAGAAACAGATTAAATTGACAGCAAAAATCTGGTCAACAAGATTGAATTTCATGGAAAGTATTTGGCGTTTTATTTCTGCAGAACTTGGAAAAGTAGTGTTATGCATTTAAAATAAATGAAAATACTCAAACACTAACTCAACTGAAACAGTATAATTAAGCTTAGAGTCGATAATAATTAAGTAGACAAAACGTTACACACAGTGTGAGAACTGCAGAGGGAGATTATTTTTTAGAAAAAAATGTAATGATGTTTTTCAGGTTATAATGTAGTAAAGATGCCCGTGCACCGTGGGACGTTAAAGAGCAAACATATAAATATAACCTTCCACTTATATATCGACTCGAACTCCATCGTGAACTTGAAATAAGACACAACAGAGTCTTTCACATCTGTTTCATATTAAGAGTTTTACTGATTATATACGATAAGAACCTAATTTCTAATTAACAACTACCTTGTTTGACAAACGAGAAGACTTCATCTTTTTCATCGTCATTTTTTTCTTATTCGTGAAGTAATACCCCGCTATCACCTGCGTATGATGATAACATCTCCCAGCTTAGTTAATACTCACGAGCATGCTCTTAGTACTTTATTTTTAAACCAAGGCAGGCTACTTACAGATAGGTAGATGTTACAAGTACGAAGAATTTCAACATCCTCGTTTAAACTCAGCATTTTGTAAAATCTATGGTAGTTATCATAACCTGTTATTTGACCTTTTCTGGCTGATTACCAATTATTAGGCTTTTGTTTTTATATACTGATTTTGACTAAGGAATGGTCCACGTATCTAATAAATACATAGAACTCACGGCGGGTGTTCTTGATCAACAGGGGAAGCTTACTCCTCCTAAGCACCTAATCCTACCTCAGGAATTTAAATGGGTCCGTGTTTACTACTCTTTTAAAAATTTTATTTCATTAGATTTCTTAGATCGATCACTGGTCGTCATCTTAGCTTTTTTCAATGTAAATGCCGACCGAATTCCCTTAAAAATATCAAACAATACAATGGGCACAAGTTATGAAACCTAGGGTCTAAGTTATATCAGGGCAAGTAAAGTTTCGATGATCCGTTATAAATCCTCTTTGTAAGAGCTATCTTTAAAGAAATGATTGATTTTCAATATAAAAGTGCATTCATTGTTTTTTAAGTAATCATATAATCATGAATAAATGATGATAAACATGTGTTGATAATAACAAAGTTGGTTTTTTCTTTACATTGGAATTTGAAATCAGAAAATCAAACGTATTAGTGGATATTACATGTAATATTTGAGTATGTGAAACTTAGTATTACCAATCTTTAGACTAACTTCCATACTTTATTGTCACTTTATATGAATGTCCTTTGAATACTTATGCCCCATTTGTATGAATATGTATTTTAATAATTCTTTCTAAAAAAAAAAAAAGAGGTAAATTTGGGGGGGGGAGGGGAGGGGTTCTCCATCACTTAAAATCTAACTGTGGCGCAAGACTTGTAAGACAATAATTAAGGATAAACAACACAAACAAACTTTTTTTCAGAAATCAGCAATATTTCTCATAGATTTATATTCCAATCAATACATGTAACCTGAATGATGTTTACCAGGTAAAGTGGGAGAACTTTGTAAGATTTTGTCGCTATGTATACGATGCATAACTGGGAGGTTCATTCTGAGATTTATTTCTGAGATTTATAAATTTATAAATTGATCTTCCTGATTAACGACGATTCACAGTAATATTTAACTGTGATGGAATTTTGGCGCTGATTTTTTAACTGTGGTGCTACTGAATTTAACTGACGGGGCCGCCATGTTAAACGGTCCATGAAGAACCTTGTCTTTATCAGAGAATATGAAATTAAAACATAAATCCTTTGTTGCCTTTTCTTCCTATTCTTGCACCCATCCTTAATTAATGTATAAAGGATATGTTTGCATTTTCTTTTCTCAAACACAGTATATTAACGTCTAAAATCTCATAAGGTTATGCTACATGTATAACTGTGTCGGTGATTTTGGTGAACTACAACAATGGTGTCCATTTCTCAGTAACCCAAAAGCGTCTCCAGGATAATGGAGTGTACGTGCAAATCCCCCCATTCTCAACAACAATGAACTTTACTTCTATATCATTCTGTCATTTATCTTCTAAAAAGTCAAGCAATTTTTCAGCACCCCGTGCAGCACTCCGTGCTGTCTCTTCAATAAGGTTGTCCAAATTACCAATCAATGGTTTTTCTACCACATCATCGAACAATTCTTTAGCACCCCGTGCTGTCTCTTTAACAATGTAGTACAATTCATCATTCGATGGTGTCTCTTCAACAACGTAGTCCACTTCTTCATCACCCTGTGATGTCTCTTCAACAATGTAGTACAATTCACCACTCGATGGTGTCTCTTCAACCACGTAGTACAATTCATCATCACTCCATGTTGTCTCTCCAACAACGGTGTCCACTTCTCTGTCGTCCCTTGATGTCTCTACAATAAATCTTTAATATCAAGCGAGCAAAAGGATGATTTCTGCCAAAGATCAACTTCGTATTCCTAGCAAGTATAGCAAGACAGCGATTTTTTTGTTTAAGATTTTTAACAACATCGAAGAAAATGGAACTTACATTTATATGTAAGATGGATATCAATCAGATTTTCGACATCTGTTCCCATCTTCAAAAAAATTTCTTTTTATAGGCATTTGCATTTCCGCTGGTGTCCTATCTATGTTTTTTGTTTTATAAAGAATATTTGCTTTCAATAGTGATTTATTTCTAGTAAATCTCTGTTCAGAAATCATGAACGATTCTGCAGACACCAGATTGTTTCTGGGAGTAGGGAAGGACATCAGATAGCTCCGAAATGGGTTGACAAAGGTTACTCTGAACTGACTTCATATGCTCCCTATAGGTTGTGCGTGACTCAACACTGTCTCATGAGAGATTGTAACTCCAAACTGATTTCAGAGGATCCTCTTACTATTACTATTGTGGAACTAAATAGTTTTAATTATTTTATACTATATATTAACTTATTATATGTGGGCTACCCATGTGTTTATGGACACAAATGAATGAAACTTTTTATCTTCTTCATCCTTTTAACGCATTGACGTTAATATAACATGTTGCATGCTGTGCTGTCAAAAATGCATTGTGTTAGAACACAACACGGTATCAGTAACATAGAAATGCTAAAGACATACAGAACAAAGTGCTTTCAACAACCTCGTTTAAAGTCTGCATTTCGTAAATTCTATGGACGTTATAATGACCAAATTAGCAAATTTAACCTATCAATGGAACGAATTTTGGCTGACTTGTTTCATACCGATTGATTTGTACTATATTTGACTACGGAATGCTCCGTCTACTTGATCAATACATAGGGCTGACGGCGGGTGGGACCGGTCAACAAGGGATGCTTACTCTTCCTAGGCACCTGATCCCACATCTGGAATTTCCAGGGGGTTTTGTATATGCCATGTTCACTGAAGTTTTTAATGAAATCGATCACTGTCGTTATCTTTACCTTATTTTCATTTTTAAATATCATGACTATACAAAGTCTCTTAAGTTGTAAGAGTTATTTCTGTATTCTGCATCTGTAGTGTGCTTAAAAATATGTATGGAATGAATATGTATATTGTTCTATATTGAATTGAAAAGCACAGTGGCACGATGGCACTCCGAGATGGAATTCCTATTTCAAATGTCATATCTTGTTCAATAGACTTCGTAAAGTGATGTTTATCAGTCAGAACAAATTAATTATTTTCAAATAAAATTAGGTACTTATAAGATATTTTGATTGATGGGGTTCACTTTTAATGAAAACCTATTTTTTACGAAAATGTCTGGCCGTGTGATTAAAGCATTTCAAAAAAATATCAAGGTACATTTCGAAACATATATTTCTTTTCTTGTTTATTTTCCCCTTGAAAATGATTAGTTTTATTTAATCTTTCATATTTTGAGCCAAACTCAGCAACCGTGCGACTACAGGAAGAGACACATGTTGACAAGGGAAAAAAAGCAAACTTAAAAAGCAAGGAGCAAACTCTTGAAATTGCAATTTAAATTTTACGCTAAGGAACAAGACGGCTAATTTTTCTATCCCGTTTCAGTACTTTCTTGCAGAGATTGCCAACCTGTGTTTCTAAAATTTGATTTTACGAAAGAAGATCGGGCCTAACTATTTATTCCCTCTTTTTATACTGCATACATTATATTTTGCCAATTTTACTTACCATATTTCTTCTTTTCTGAATTAGAGAGCTTTTCTGTTCAAAAAGAATGCAAAAAGTATGTGAAAATCCAACGCATACATCATGTGAAATCAGTACAATTTATCCCCAAAACAAAAAAGAAAATTTATTTATCATTCACCATTTTCTTAAACACATAAGGTTTTTTTTTTTTTTTTTTTTTTTTTTTTTTTTTTTTTTTTTATACCTAATCTTGCAAGATTTGTTGATAAGTCATTTAGTTCAGTTCTCTGTTTGTCTTGCTCATACTTCACTTTCTCTAACTCAGTTCTCTCTCTCTTTTGGTTGATTTCCAGTTCCGTTATATCCACGTCAGTTACCACTCTCCGCAGCTCTAGCATATTCAGATTTACGTTTTGATTTTTCAGGTTTGTTGTAATCCCTTAAAAATTACGAACAAATTTATTTTTTGGCTTATGTTATTTTACTAGTACTAAAATCAATGATTTACGAGTTTTTGCAATTTGAGCACTATTCAGAATTTCTTAATTGTCTCATCTCTGATACCAACCTGACATGATTTTTTTCAAATCCGCTGTTGATTGATGTTGTTGATCGATCATGTCCAGGAACCTCTTTTCTTGTTCAGGATCCATTGTTACTGTTTTAATGATATTTGCTGCATCAGTGTATGTGGTACACCCTCCAGGAAGGCTTCCCTCAAGTTCAGTGATAATAATTGTAAGGTCTTGCCAAAGTTTCAGAAATTCAGCATCTAGGAGAGAAACACTGACTGCATGTCCACAATAGGTATTTCTGATCTCTCTGATTCGGTCTATGTTAGCAGAAAGGGATCGATCAGATGGATCTGGTGATTTACCCCATCCTTTCTGGTGAGGCGTAATTCCTGATATATTTCTTAGTAATATATACAATAACGATAAATCAAACACATCGTATGTTCCAGTAAAATTGCCTGATCTGGGGTAAAGTTTTTCTCTTTGGGCTTTGTTTAAGATAGGGCTTAATGTATTCTTCTCCTTTTGAAGGATAAATGGGAACTGAACCTCTGTAACATGGTTCCTCAGAATGTCTCTGAATAGGTCAGTACAGGGATCCAACAATAACCGGGAAACACGAGCAGCATGTGTTGTCTCTTTCGTCGAGATGTATTGAGAGCATGCCATTATTTCTCTGAAAATTAAACACTTGATGATTCAGTCATCAATTATTGGTTAAAAGAACAGATAGTTTGCAAAATGATTGTTTGATGTATATGTGAAAGGACTTAAAAAGGACATAATGTCATAATTGCTGAAACATCTTGCAATGATGTTCGTAAAATATTTTAAAAATACTCATATCTAAGACTTACTCGAATTTTCCTAAAAAAAAAAGAATTATAATAATTCATTATAATATTCAGACAAAACGGAATTATTTGAAAAATGTTTTAAAACCTTCTTAAAAACTTTTTTATTGTAATTTTTCTTCCTGTCGTTTATCTCTTTTATATACTACTTTTATAAGAACTCAGTTAGAATATGCAACTGAAGTTTGGTGTGGGTGTTCTAGTCAAGATTCCGAAAAACTAGAAAAATTACAGCTACATGTAGCAGCAGCAAGAATATTCACTGGATTAACTTCTTTGGCATCGCGAGATTCTCTCTATTTTTAAACTGGATGGGAACCACTTGTTGTTAGAAGAATGTCCAAAGTAAGAACAACTCTGTTTAATTTATTTTTCATAATATGGTACCCGAGTATCTGAAAGATTCAATCACACAAATCAAATTACGTAACAAGACAATTACAAAATTATTGCATCCCTAAGTGTAGATTAAACATTTATAAATCATCTTTTGTCCCAATGGCAAGAAGGGAATCGAACTCTTTACCTCTTGAAACAAGATAATCCACTAGGTACCTTCAAAAAATGTATAAACTCTCAAAAAACACCTCCTCCTGCCTTTTTAAGCGCTAAGCGCAGCGCAAAGTGCTTACTGTCATCTTAAATCTACTTCCGTTCGCGATCCAGCGCCACTAAGCAAGTTAGATAACTTCACTGGGTTTTCTAAAAATATGCCACTGGAAATCCCCGACTCTCTTTCGGCTATTTTAGTGTAATACTGAATTACGTGCAGTTCTAATAATAGGAGTCAATTAGCTAGGTAAAGATATGCATGTACATTGTACGAAAATCCACTGTTATAGATAAGAGCGGTTCTTGTCATGCTTATCTCTATACATTGTAGTTCATTTAAAATCGTGTCGGCACTCATCACTTGTGTACCATGTAGCTTACAACTGCTGCATCTATGGCGCAAATACTTAATTGAAAACGGTTTATTACATGTATATGTCATGTACATGTAATGTAATGATTGAATAAGTATATACTTTTAAAACTCAGATGGGATTTTAATAAGTATTTAAAACTCAAACTGGAATTGAGTTATTTAGTAGAAAATTTCGCATAAAATTGATTTACAAAATACTTACATATGTACGTTCTATATAACTTATACCATATAAACTATTATCTCTTCTTTTAGACCCTTATTTCAGGCAATGTAACTAAAACAAGTCTTCCTATTATCACCCTTGCACCATGCAGAGAGCTATCAATGAAGTTGATTTTCGCATCTCAGTATCAATTAGTAACAGACTGGAATGCATTCATGGACTGTCTATACTTGTGTTGTACTCTATATACTTGTAATATAAGTAAAAATATGATGTAAATAGTTCTCAAGGAAAGGCAGTTTGCGGCTGTACGTACATGTAGGGCATGTGATGGCTGTGTTTTCAACGAATCCACTCAAATAAGAAAACCAATTTCTCGGAATATTGTGCTTTAAAATTGTGTGTGCAGTGCGCAAGATATGGCGAAAAATGCAAAAACTTTAATTAAACGTTCTTAGCAATGGACAGGAATAGCGCCGATGAAATGTTAAGCAAACAGTGGAATACTCGTATTTGGAAACCAGGAAGAAATAGTTTATGTAAAGATGTGCGCGTGTTGCCGATTTGACTGCGAAGCAACTTAATGAGGACTACATAAAAACAAAAAACAATGTTGTATACCTTCATGAAGATTTATTAATACTTGAGATTAATATACTGTATTTTCTTTCTTGGGCTGTTGAATTATTTATCATGGAAATAGCAGAAAAATTACGGGCAATTATTTTCAGTATTCCTTTTCAACTAACACAACAGTGCTGTGGATATTTTTTCCCTCTAAACACGTTTTGTATGGTAGTTAAAATCATACATAAACAAGTAAAGAATGGTGTAAAGCATCAAACGTCCGTAAAAAAAAAAAAAAATACTGAAGCATTTTAAAGTACATGTATTTCAACAATAGTCCAAAATACTTTTGGGGATTTAATGACATATTTTTAATCCGAAGAAGTATGAAATTTTTATTTTAAAAAAGTAATATTTACAAATCAGATATACATGTACATATTGTGAGATCAACAGAAAAGACAATTTTTGTTGCAAATACATTATAAATCATGTATATGAAAATCAGAGATAAAAGGATAGCACCGAATGTTTTATCATCAAACAAAGAAGACAAATATAATATCTCTATACTCAAAATGTATATTTACCAATTATCTCTGACAAAAGGACGTTAACTCTACGGGTGCTCATTTCATTAACAGAGAGTTTTGTCACAAACATGATGCCGATATGCTGCACAGCGCGATGAATGTGAAGTGTTAAAAATGTATAATACACAGCTGTTGCATATTCAAAACAAAATGTAATATATAGTCTATGTTTTATTTATCATTCATAAATACTGGACGCCCGTAGTGATTGTGTAAATATCTTACACACTCCATTAATGTATTTCTTGTAAAATCCTTTCTATAAAATCATAAATTTATAAATCGCTTATGAATATGAAAAAAAGAGAGATATACTAAAAACAGTTTACTGAAAATACTAGTATTCGATATTTTTGAGATGTTTTATTCATAACTTTAATAAATAAATATGATATCAATAAGGAAATATTTATCGACGCAATAAACAAATAGCATCTTTATTTTCCGAGTGCAGTTTCTAAAATTAAAGCACAGTCACTAACAGCCAGTCTTCAATTTGAAACACTCGTACACACGGAATGAATTTATTATTAAAAATTATCACCAGAACATTTTAGCTGTCGGTGTTGCAAATAAATGAGAGGAATTTCAGCGACATTTTCAAGTGTTCAAAATTATTTAGAAATATACATTTTCCAGAAAAATTAATGTAAAGCTACATTTATAGTCTAAATTTGGTCGGAAAACTCGTCGACCATCCCCTCCGATTAATTGCGATTTATACGCAAAGCTACCTCTTATAGACTCCTATAAGGAGATGGAGAAAAGAAAATATTTTTACATGTTTTTTTTTTCTTTTTTTTATTAGGTTTGAGAAATACATTGCTGTTTGGAGTAAATATCAGCCATTTAATTTGTATATATTGTTTGTTTTTTTGTTTTTTTTAAGAAACGGAAAAATGTTTTCTGGCAATTTCATGTATGTGAAATTGATTGATCTTTTGACAGAAGAAGAAAATGTAAAATGCTTAAAATAAAAAGTCTTAAACATTGTTGAATTTCATTCCAACGGGACATTTTCATGACTCACATGTTTGATTATGTAATAATTATGTAATAAACAACTGTGCTCGCCCTAGCGCAGGCGCACTGTCAAGATATTGCTTAAATTCCAATACAACTGGCAATTTAAATTTAAAATGATTCTGATGAATTTCAAATTGCAAAATGCTTAGCGCTTCCCAGTACTTTCAATACTTTGATTTCTTTTGGTGTTCGTTACTGGAATGTAATTCATACTAGATTGAGACACAATTGTGTTCTAAATATTATTTAGGTGTATCATCATTGACAGTCCATTATGCACTTGTGGAAAAATAGAAGACGCATATCATTTCTTTTTTTCATGTGCGAAATACACTGTCCAAAGAAACGATCTGTGTAATGCTTTTTTTTTAGAATGATTAATTTACGTATTATAGACACTCACGTACTGTTATGGGGAGATGATTCGATTAGCATTTCTGAAAATGAATGTTTATTTTTAAATGTGCAATTGTTTATTAGGAGATGTGGTTGTTTTTTAATTTATATATTTAGATTCATTTGTACATACTACATCAAATCAATTTTGTACATGCATAGTCTATGTAAGCTGATAATCATACTATATAATCATGTTGGTTCCAGTGTAGTTTAATTTTTGAACATCATTTTGTGTAATTAATTGTTATAAAGAAGAGGACGTTCTAAGTTTTAAGAACTTGTGTCCGATCCTTTTGTTGTAACATCTAAACAATAAAATATGTTCAAATCAAATCAAATCAATAAACTTTATTTAAAGTTCTACACATATGACATTCCTTATTATTAGTATATTATTGTTATTACAGCTGTATCAAATTAATATGAGTGTGGTCGATTCTGTGTTCTGTTGCTTTAATGAAAAGGGGGCATAATTGTAGTAACTTATTACCTTATCCCTTGAACAAAATACTTTAATTCAAAAATAATAAACAAACGATTTAGAGTAACAAGAATATTCACATTGCTTGTAATAATGTTGTCTTGTTGACATTAGAATCAAACAAGCATAACCTTATACAGTGGAGCAGTGAAATGGTACCTTTGTTTTCAGACAAACTACGCAAGTTATTCTTTTTCAGATCATTAGGGAGCAATTTTAGATGCTGCAGACACAGGTTGAAATTTCAAAAGCAATTCAATAAATCAAGGCATTACATGCAGGGTTGGCTGGGAAATACCAGTGGTGGGAATTACCAGTGGTAAATACCGGTATTTCCCGTCCCGGTAAATACTACAAATTTTCTCTAACTGGGAAATACTGGGAAATACAAAGTTGAAGTTTTCTATTTCTTTAATTCATTCAAACTTTTACAAAATTCAGATATAAAACAAACATGAAAACAGAAGATGAATAATACTGAATATGTCTCAAACTGCAATTTAACATACTCAGAGTGTATCACTACTCCATGTCCCCTACACATAACCATTCTGTAGCAATACATATATCTCTGGCTGGATATAAAAACAAAAATGGAGTTTTCCAATTTAAGTTTGTAAAATTATCAAATTTATTAATTATAAATCCAAGAACA